TATTTTAATGTGCCTTTGACTGATGTAGCTTCTTTAAAGCGGTGTTTAATCTTATTTTCTTCTACTTCATAGTCTTTTAACGTTGAGAAATGGCACACAATATTTGATAAACATTCCTTAGCCCAGTTAAATAATTCCTTTGGTGTTTGGATTGGATTATTTATTTGTTGAAGGCTAGCTCTTGCAGTATTCCTCTTTAAGGTATCAGCTAAGCCGTCGCATGGTCCTTTGCCGTGTGGCGTTGGAAAAAAGTGCCATTCTGCTTCCAAACCAAAGTCCGCTTTGTGATGAGTTAAATTAATAAAAATTTTTTTATTTTTATATTGTGAACCCGATCCATCGGAAAAATAAATAATTTTTTTAATGAATTTGATAGCGTATTTCTGGAACAAATGTACAGCAGTTGTGTTGTGATGTAAACAGTCAGATATGCATACAAATTTTTTTATTTGTAGTTTTTTATTTTCATCGCAGTGGTACACTGATGAATTGTTGCCTGGTTATTAGTCTAGTGCAAAACTCGAACAGAGTTTTGAACAACAAAAGCATAATTTTCGAAAATATCACACAAAACGATACATTCATTTACTGCTAATATAAGTTGTTTTTTTTTATCCTTTAAAAGCTCTGTCTGTTTTTTAACGATAAAGGAATGCAACAGCAATTTATCTAAGCCGTCTGTTAAGGATTGCAAATATTTATCAATTGGTGATGTCAAAGTTTTTAATGTGCTTCTTTTTTCATGAACCCATTGTTTGTATGTAACGGTTTCTATTATATTGTCTTCAAAGATCTCTAGAAGTTGTTTGTTGCTATTTGCAGTTCCAGGGCATTTGGCGCATATTCCTAGAAAACATTCTGTGCGTGAAGAATAGCAAATCATGTGGTGTAGACACTCTTTATACAGAGTATGCTTCATATTGCTTAGAAAGTCGTTTTTGCATTTGTATGTTTTTTGTGTCCGTAAAAATTTAAAATAGCATCGGTTTTATGTTTTTCTAGCGATGGATGGCTTTTTGGATTTGGGTCTTCTAAGATTCCTTTTTCTAAAACTAGCTATAGAAATCATATGCTTTGTAGCGTTTGAGAAATGAGTTGTGATTTTTCGAAAAGACCAATTATGTACCACATTCAATATTTTTATTTTCATCGTCCTATCTGCTGTGCCATTGAATTCTTCCTGTAGATTTTTTAAAATTCATGCAAGGTCATCTTCTCCATGGCTATTTTTGGATTCATCGGGAGAAATTTTGCAAATTTTATGTTTAATCGCTTCAGTTATATTCTTTATTTTTTCATTTTTGTATTGCTGTTAAGTTTTTTTGATGTAATTGAGGTATTGCTTATTAGAGAGAGTGCTTTGTTTAATGGAGTAAGAGCACTTTTTCTGATTTCAGTTCCGTATGTAGCCGAACTGTTACTACTTCATGTTGAATCTTTTCCTCGCTGGATATTGTTTGCCGATATACCTCCTTCATTCTTCTTTTTATTTTTGGCACTCATCTCCAGTTTGAGTCGGCAACTGTTACATATTTTTTCTCCAGATTTTTTATAGTCGTAGGCATCCGCAACATACGCAGGATATAATCTGAAACTTGCTTTCTTTTAGCCTTTTTTGAATGCATTTTCAACTTCAGCGGATTGAAACATTTAAAATCATTCGATCACCGTAGATTCATTTTATTTATTCTAACTTTTGCCATTATTTAAATGTTCTAACTTGTTTGTTCGCTTTCAAACCAGAAACTGAAGACTTATCAGACTTACTTAACATTTTATACCAAATTGGATGTCAGTATCTTTATAAGATGGAGGTACCTAAACACTCCATATCGAATTATTTACAGGTTATTTCCTATAACATTTCTTACCTTCTTACCAGAGTATTTTTCCAACTGTAGCAAAATAATAAATAACACTAAAAAAGGTAGGTGTAATTATGTGCTGCAGTTATGTAGGTAGTTCTGTTAGTGTGGAAGTAATAAATTTTTTAATTCATCAATATATGTTTTATTAAGTTAAAATACATATTTTAAAAATAGAGATGTTGCAAAACTAATTTAAAATGGTATATTTTATGTTTAATTTAATATACATTTATTTTAGAAATAAAAATTAAACATTTTTGTATGATTTTTCTTTGAAAATTGATTTAATGGTATTATGGTGCATATGAGCACGTGATGGGCGCCTAATAAATTAATTTTTTTTAATTACTTCTAAAAGAAATATCACACTGGAAATATTTATTGTTTAAGTAGAATTTATTGATTAATTTGAATTAAAACTAAAAAAAAAATTAAATTTTTTTTTTAAATTTTTTCTCAATTTTTATGGAATGCCAAATTTGTTTGTGTAAATAGTAACATTTGAATTTTTAAAAAAGTATTGATAGAAATCAAAAAAATTTTGATTTTTCTTCAAACACGCTCGTGCTTTTTCGTACACAATCGGATTTTGTCGGTATACAAAATTTCATATATTTTAAAGGGCCCATTAGACAGCAACGCTCGTTGTCAACGCGCGCTTGCCATTACACAAACAATTTTTTAGCAATTTTTTAAACACGCCCCAGATAAAACAACAAATATACTAAAAAATCGCTCTCACATGAGATTTTTTTCTCCTACTTTGTGAAATGCGAAATTTGTTTGTGCAATAGTAGCATTTGAAATTTTAAGAAATGCGTTGACGAAAATCAAAAAATTTTGATATTTCTTCAAACACGCTCGTGTTTTTGCATATACAGTCGGATTTGGTCGGCATGCAAAATTTCATTTATTTTGAGAAATGGAAGCGTAAGTATCGTTTAAATGCACGCATGATTTATCGTTAGCAGACGATGCCAATATGAATGAATTGTATCTTTTATTTTAAATATTTGTGTTTTCTATCTAGGTAAAATTTTTTAATTTCCAAAACATGTTATT